AGTAGGAGTCGGGGATGTTGAGCTACTGCTGGCTTAACTGCCTAGCTACTAATAACTTATAACATAAAGCTTTGCTCTTCGTCTTCCGGGCCTTTAACAAGGAATTCTGAAAAAAATGATTTGAAGTCTACATCAAGCAATTGTGGAAGCAAACAAACTCTCCATACCAACATCGAAGGCTTCACAACTATCTAGAAGAGAGCATTTCTCTATAGGGGTGCTAATGCTTTACTAATATAATATCAAGTAAAGGCTCATCTTCTGTTTTACGAATCTAACTAATCTATACTACTACTAATTGTAGTCAGACTGGGTCTTCTAGATGGAACTAGCATAGTATGGTTTATATATTTTATGCTAATAGAACCATAAGCCGCACTATACTTGATTTAAGACTTGACGTACTCACTTTGATGTATGATAAAGAAATGCTAGCTGTTGTGTATGCATAAGGGCTTCTTTTAATAATATCTTTCTCCTTTGCCCGTGAATCCCTTATATTTCTTTTCATTCCAGTAAAAAGTCTTATATGGTCAGACCTGTCCATTAGTTATGCGAAGCCTTCGATGTTGGTATGGAGACTTTGTTTGCTTCCCGTTTGCTGAACAAGTTTGTCGGTTAGCGAAACTTTTTGAATAGTACAAATCGCTACGCTTCGCTTTATTAGGGGAAGCCTAAATCCCCCCAGATAACCATCGCTCAGCCAGAATAAAGAGGGACCATAAAGTGGCCCGTTATGCAGTAAATATTATCTTCTCATGCGCTAAGCTCTCCTTACTTTCATGTCAAGAAGGCCATATCAGCGTTTGGGGCTACATAGGATCCTGAAAGTCGTATCAAGAAGTCTTTTCGATTGGTTATATATAAGATCGTGAAATCATCTCCGGAATAGTCATGGTAAAGTGGATCAAACAAAGATGTGTTCATCTTGATTTATTGGTGCAGTCACTTCGTCAAAGCCGAGGCAATCTTGATTTAAGCCAATTCCAGTTTTTCCTACTAAATCTTTTGTATAGTCGAACGATGCAATTGCCCCAGACCAAGTCTCATCTCTTTCATTCAGGGCACTCGGATGAAGAACCGGCAACCACCATTGGTCAATTCCACTTTGGGGCCACCCCTTACTTTCCTTTATCTTTACTAAAGATCAAGGAGTACACTTTTACTTGACCTAATAAGGGAAGATTACGAGGAAGCCTTTGACCTAGTAAACAAGATGAAGTCTCTTCGTCTCCTGTTCTTTAGAGCTGACAACACTCAAAATTCTATTTCTTGCAGTGAGTGAGTGAGTTCTCACTGACCTGAGCAATTTTGATCACCGAACAATATCTTATGGCAGCTAAAGCAAGTAACCGTCATCGGGCGGTGGCTTATTTCTAACACCCCCTTCTAACTCCCCTATCTATAGTTATAAGGAGGACATTATCAAGCTGGTTTTGAGCTGTTTCTCTTCCGAAGACTCTCAATGACACAATTATTGCCTTGGTTCCCAAAGTCCCCAGAACTCGTTTGCAACATAAGTTTTGCAAACCTGGGTTAATTCCATTTTCCACTGGACAAAGGCAAAAATAAAAAGATAGAATACGACGGGTTTTCTGGCGTATAAAGAAAGGTGAAACCCTTACTTTGGGGGCCTTGCTTCATGATTTTCTTGGTAAGCATTTGGCTGTTGACGTGTCCTCTACACGCATTTGAATGAGCTTGTTCAACAATGTGCACTCCAAATTGGCGTACAATGCTAAGGTAGCTTGCGCTAAGGACTAGGGTTGTTTTCTTGGTGACTTTAGCTGGAGACTTTTTACCTTGACATTTGGTCGGTAGGGCGTGGTTGGTTCTGAGCTATGGTCAAGACTGGTATAGGCATAATTTTTGCTTGACATTTATGCCTGAGCAAAGAAATGGATCAAACAGGAATTCTCATTGACCTACTTAACTTAGTGGTTAGAGTGTTCCATACGGCATCGGTTCGTGAGAATGAACCAACCCAAATGATTGTTCTAGCCTATTAGCATACGTTCGCGGCAAGGAATGAGGCATTGGGACCATAGTACAATGAGGGATGAGCAAAAATCTAGGGCTCTGATTCAAAATTATCTAGCTCGCCCCAAATCAATAAGGCTCATTATTGCCCCTACATAAGTCCGAACGCTATGTTGAATGTGTGATCGACACTACAAAGATGACCATCCAAGGATACAATGCGGACTAGGAAGCTTCCAGACCGCATTTTCCAGCCAAATAGCGAACGATCACTCAACACATACATACTTTTTTTTTTTTAAATGTAAAGCCAACAGACATAAAAACAAGTGTTATTGCGGCTACTTATATGACATTTTCTAAGATATCTGGTTTCGCTGTTGAAGGACCTGTTCTATCTTCAAGCCCTTGTATAGTAAGCTAACAAATGACGGTGACTAAAATCTGTCAGCGATCCCAAGAACATTACAACTTGAAAGGGTCATCTAGGATTTTAATGACATGGACTAGTGTGAAGAACTGAAAGATAGATTTTTCTAGTACTTGCCAATATAACTCATATTTCTTACTTTACTCTTCTTGCTTTATGCTCGGGCGTCTCCTTGAGAAGTATGATTTTCATTTTTGAATCACTCGATTTCACTGAGTATTGAAGAAGTTATGAACGTTTAAAATTTGCCCAATTTATGGCTAGTTCCCCAGTTTTCCCACGGATCAGTCAACTTTCAGGTCATTTTTTGGCCAACTCCGGCCACCACTTGGTATGAATTTCTTCTCCATATTCGTAACTACATTTTGGCTTTTGACTCACTTGATTTGGTCTTGTATCGAGCTTGAACTAGGTTCTTGAAGTTGGGGGAAAAAATCTGGGGAATTCCCAGATTTTCGAAGGTGGCGCATGGAGCACACATGCCTCGACCAAAGGTATTGTGCTCCGTTGCCGTGGGGTGGCGTGTGGCCTCCCGAGTCACCGCCTTATGGTGGCACATGTGGCTGCGCGTGGAGGAACCCGAGGTTCTCCTTTAGGTTTTTCGATGTCTTGAGTCCGTTTACAGCGTCCGTTTTCCCAAATTCAATCGTTTTAGTAGAGTTTTATTAATTGGTTCCTTTCTGTGCTTAGGTGCGTTTGTTAGTGGCATTTCCATCTTCCTTAGTTCGAGCAGCTCTTTTATGACGGAGTATCTGTGAGTGGACCCCTTCCAAAAATGCATGATTTTATTACTAGAAATGCATACATGAAAAACATGATTTTATGACTACGTTTTATGAAACATTTATTGAAGTATCGGATTTACACTTATTGAAATATCATGCTTTATCAAATTTACATTATAGAGATATCTATGAATATGATTTATGATATGAGGGTTGAGCTATTGAGCTCCGATGAGATATATTTTAGAAAGATTATGTTCATAATTTTGTGTGCTTACTTAGTGGATATTCATACATAGTACCTTTGGGCGAATGATTTACATGCCTTCGGGCGAAAGATATTTATATACACCTTTGGGCAGGTGATGTAGTGCCTTCGGGCAGAAGAGATTTATATATGCCTTCAGGCGGAAGATATTTATATATGCCTTCAGATGGGCGATGTAGTGCCTTCGGGCGATTGTGATACAACTACTAAACACACTATTTATGGTATATGTTTTACGAAGGTTTTATGGCATGCTAGGGTTTTCGGAAAACCTGTTACTTATTATGATATATGAGTTTTCAAAAACAGGAGGTTAGTACATTTGAAGAGTAATTGTTATTATTTTGCACCCCCTTAGGACCTAGGAACAAGGCATACGACCTGAGCTACGAGGCATTTCCATATCAGTGAATTTGTGTCCTCCTCTATGTGTAGGACATCTCTTGTAATTGCACTTTCTAATATTTCTTCCGCTTGTATTTTGAATTAGTAGTATACTCTGAACATGTCATGTATTATCACTTTTAAATTGTTGGCAATTGAATATTATATTTTATTAAGGTTTGTACTTGGTTACTATATTACGTTGTTACGCGCGAAATTTATATGCATGTTTTACATGTTCTCAGCATTTGCATTCATAAAATGGCTTACGTCACCCTTGGGTGTCGACCAGCACGTGGCCATCCCGTTGTCCTTTGGACACTAGGATCGGGGCGTGTATTTGACCTCCAAACCACATATTGACCCCATCTCTCAGTACCTAATTGAAGAAGAAAATTAAGTGATTGATGCAGGATTTAAGGCTAGAAATTTCAATTCAACAGAGAGAAAATCATGGAGAAGAGAAACGAGATAGTAAAAAAGGAAAAGGAAAGAAAATGTGGTTCAGATCCAATCAACTCTAGAATTGGATGGTCATTGCCCCTTTTATTATTAATTTTTAAGGTAAAAGTGAATTAAAATATAGTCTGTAACTTAGTTCGACATTGTACCAAGTGTTTTATCAAATTAGTTTAGTTTAGTCTATTTTAAATTAGTCCAACTTAGTCCCTGAAGCGAGCCCAATCCTAAATGGTCCAGTATAACAAATGCACCCTAAACGTAACTTAAATTCGTTAGCATATTTGTGTAGGGAAGTTGAAAAAAATTGTTTGTGTTGGTTTACAAAAAAGAACAAAATCGTTTGTGTTCGTTGAAAAAATGAATAAAATTGTTTGTGTTGTAAAGAGAGAGGAAACAATTAATTAACGGGTGTGAAGAATTGATTGATTTAAATTGCACCAGGAAATAAAAATCCCGCCCATTAAGAGAATTTGAAATTTGAACATGCTTGAACAGTTGGGCCAAAAATGAAAAACCAAAAATGTTTGTAACACGTGCGGAAGTTTTCAAACACACGTGTGAAAATTTTGGGGGTTTTGTTGGCAGGTCCATAATACCGCCCATTTTTCCAGTTTGAAAATTTGCCATTCGCTCTCCCTCACAGGCCAAAAGCATCCTCTTTTTCTTCAAGTCTCAGAGACCCTCCCACTCTACGCTCCAAACACAGACGCTCCAAAGCTCTAATTCTCATCCGGGTAAAATTAATACTTCCTTCTCTCTAATCGATTCCCCTACTACAATCGCACATCTGGGTCGCAATTAGATTTATCATTTCTGATAAGAATGTCATCTGGGTTAGCTTAGTTTCGCGTTTTCTTGAGACCATTACCCCTGATTTTCTTAGAAAGTGGAGGATTTTTATGGAAAGTGAGAGCTCTTCTCTTCTTTATGCAAATCTAAACTATTTGTGATAAAAATATCATCTGGGTCAGTAACTTTTTGAGTTTTCTTGCGATAACTAGTCTTGATTTTTCCGAGAAAGTTTTCGATTTTCTGGGAAAAGTAGATCTGTTCTCTTTTTGCCAACTGTTAAATTTATGAGTCGTGATAGAAGTGTCATCTGGGTCGGGGAAATTTCGCGTGTTCTTGCGATGCTTCCCTTTGATTTTCCCGAGAAATGTTCCGTTTTCTGGAAAGTGAGAGGTTGTCTCTTTATTTATTTTGATGTGAAATCTCTGGATCTGATTTCCCACTTTGCCTTCAGTTGAATCGTGAAAATGCCTGAAGCGAGAGATCGATTGTCAAGGCCAGTTGACCTGGCCACAGCCTATGCTCAGAGGTTGGCCGGCAACCGGAGAGCATACATTGATCCGCCAGAGCAGACTATATTAGCCTTTTCTCCTCCGGTGAGACTTCCAACAGGCTTGGGGATTGGAGCTACCGGAGTTGTTGGTGTAGGAGGGCTCCCTGGGAGCAGTTTGAGGACTCCCAGAACTGTGACTGGGCGTGGTCGGATCCCATTTAGGCTGTCAACGGTGGATAGAGAGAACACACCGAGTGGGAGTTCTCACCGGAGAAGGGGCCGAGCTAGTAACAGCGTGTTGCCTTCTTGGTACCCGAGAACCCCTCTCCACGATATCACTGCTGTAACTAGGGTATCATCACTTTCTTGACCCTTTGTTCATATTGCTTGATTAGTTTGTTCAGCCAAGAATATAATTGGATTCATTTGATTTCATGATTGATTAATTAAATGGGTTTCACTTTCTCTTTCTAGTAGTTGATATAATTGAATCGACTTATCTGTTTTTGAATGGAAGAGTTTCGATTTATGGCCTTAATGGTATTCACATTTGATGTGTTACCTGAGGGGACTTTGTGTACTTGTTATATGATTGTAACTTAATTTTCATACTTGTTATATGATATGCAAATAATTAAATTATGGACCTGGTTTTGCCTTCTGAATTTTGCTCAATCAAAATCTCCAAAGCTTACAACTTTTCGTCTTTATGTTTTTGTCTTCGTGTTCTATGAATAACTTCTTCCAATTGTTTAGTAAATGTAATTGGATCCATTTCTATTCATGGTTGATTGTTATATAATATAGTGATTTTGTCTAACTTGGGCTGGGCTTGATTCTAATTTTATAGCAATTGATGACTAGCTTTTTATTGCATACTAAGAAGTTGAAAAAATGAATTTTTTTTTAATTTTTTTTCTAAGGTCCCTTTTGTCTTGACTAGTTTTTTCATACCTGTTATATTGTATGAATATTCTTGTTACTCTTTCCGTGTTTCAATTGTTTCGTTTTCCTTGATTTTGTGCAAATTTTTAAACCTCAGTTTCGACAACCCTTGTAGTTTTTCCTTTTTCGTGTGTCTGTTACCTTGTTTACAATTGATATGAATTGTAACTCATGATTTTCTGTTGATTGTAAAAGAGTGTTTAGCCCTCCTTGATTTTTGAACGCGCTCAATCCTAATCATAAAAATTTTGCCTGCTTTTATCTGTAACTTCAAATTGTTTGGGCAATGCCGTTTATCAGTGGAAGATTTAACCCGGTGTCCTGTCTCTGAGTTTGGGGTGCAATTGTAAATGATATTCGATTGATGTTTTTGAATCTTTAGCATATAATTAATAACTGGTTGACATGTCTAATTGGTATAGTTTTGATTAGGCTATTGAAAGGAGAAGAGCTCGTTTGGCTGAGAGCGATGGCGAAAACACTGAGGGTCAAGTTCCACAAAACCAGAATGCCCTTGATCAGTCTCTTCCAGTGTCAGGTGCTCAAGTTGATCATGGTGTTCCTGTGACCCCGTATTCAGCTCTTCGTACCAAGCGCCGCTTACCTCCTCCTGTTGGTAAAGTTCAAAAAATTATAAGGGACGTCAGTAATCAGCCCTCTGAAGGAGAATTTCTTACACCACAAAAGAAACTAATGAACTCAATTGATATGGTGGAGGAAGTGGTCAGGAAAGAACTTGAGAGGCTTAAGAGAACGCCTAGTGCCAAGAAGGCTGAGAGGGAGCAAAAGGTCCGAACTCTGATGTCAATGCGCTGATCTGTTTTCATGAAGGAACATCAACATTAGCTATGGCACATAGAGAATTGGACATGGACCTAAGCAGGTGAAGATATATCACCCTCTTGTGATACCTACATAGTGAGACATATCACCTTCTGGTGACACCTTTCTGACCCTCAGTGTGACTTTTATCGTCTTCCGGTGATCACTCTTATCATTTTCCGTTGATATTGCTTACCATCTACTGATGACACTTAACATTCTATCATCTTCTGGTGATGACTTTACACTGGCTGAGCGCGTTTGGTTTTTGTTTGAAGCTTCATGTTAGCAGAAGGTCATAGTAAAGTGTTTGAGCTGCCATCATTCTTTGATGGTTTTTGGCTTTAGATATATATAGTTGGAACTGATGTATATAGAGGCCATAGAACAACTTTTGTATTTGATCAAATAATTTCTCGTGTATGATGATTGATATGAAAAGATTTGGGCTTTTTAGCAATTGCTGTTTAATTCTCTAGTGCTTCTTGAATCTGATGTTCATACGAGAATGTGATGCAAATGACTTGTTGCTTGTTGGAAGCAGTCTCATCGGACGCTTCTGATTGCTGATTGCTGATTGCTTTTAACTTGTTAATGCATTACCGCAGAATTTGTTAAGCAATCGTCTCTAATTGCTGGTTGTGAAATATTCACAATATTTTACGTTGGTTGGAAATACAAAAAATTGACAGGGTTGAATTTAGAACAATTAAGAAGCAGTAACTATTCATACTTATACTCTATTCCCATAAAGTAGACTCATTAGCAGTAGTATGAGCGATTTTCAGAGAACTCAACCAAAGTCTAATAGTGGACTTAATTGAATTGAGAACCACCATAGCGAGTTGACACAACTTATTAAATCTATGATTGTTCTGCTTCCTCCAAACATGATACACGGTTGCAGCAAGACATAACTTGAACACAATCGATGATAGAGATTTTTCCTTCCAACGGTTAGCAGTCCACATGACAAAAAGAGGCCAAGGATGGCTTACCCAAGAGCCATCGCGCTTGAACAACACCGAAGACCAAATACCATCAGGAAAAGGACACTCCAAGAAGAGGTGGCAACGGGACTCCATAAGCCCTAGATCGGAGGACATAAGTGAAAGGAGCTGACAGAGCAAAAGTCAAAATCCTATCCATAGTAGAAAGCTTGCAGTTTGTAGGTTGTATAATGGACAATACAAGGGTCGATTAAATTGGACATTAGCAATTCAAGTGATTGCAGAAACCAAACTGCAAAGCTGGAAGAGTATTTTGGTACGGAGAATCTCCATTAAGAAAAGATAAGAACCAAACCAAAGGAAGAACAAGTAGTAGTAGTAGTAATGCTAGTACTGGCTGTTGGAAATGGTGGCCATAAAAGCACTTGTTTGCATTTGCTTCTGTTATTGCCGCATTATGTAATGAGATGTTTGGATTTAATCACTGGATTGAAATAGGAAGTGGATGGCTTTCTCTCCTCCCGGCGGGGGGGGGAGGTGATTTGGGGCCTAGGGTTTGTGCTCCCTTGGCTTCTCCTGCTATTCACTGAATTAATCCAATTTCTTGCTGATTCTAGTTCTTGTGGAGTCATTATTAGCCTAATTCTAGATTGGAAACAATTATGGGTAAGATTTAGAGGAGAATTTGAACAAGGCAACTCTGAGAGTTTATGGAAGAGGAAAGGTTTACAGCAAAGTAATCCAAACTTCGAGTTCTGCGTGAAAACGATCATTAGTCTCTTAACCGATCTGGTGAATTGGAGAGCCGGCGGAAGCGTGGTTCATGAGACAAGAATGCAGGTGTGGCAAATCTCCATGATAAAGGAAATTAATTATTATTGTTTGCAAATTTGGTTAATAAATAACTGGATTAAGCTTAATGTTTATTCCTTTTTGAACTCTCAGCGTTTCGATGTTTGTGATTGTTTAGTGCATTTTGATGATGATTGGCTAACCTTTAGCTTATGGAAAGGGTTTACCTTTAATAGGCTAAGTGTTGTTTATGCTAATTTAGTGTTGCTTGTGATATTACGTCGCTTGAGTTTACCGGAAGCTTGTTCTGCTTTATGGTGAAGCTCAGTCAGCGTTTCTGCTCACCTTTTTCTTGCATGTGTGCGCTTGGGTTTCTTAAACAGTTTAGGTGCATTGAGTTTCGTATAGTTTCTAGGTTCTATTCTGAACTTCGTCTTTCCTTTACCTCTGGGCGGAACCTGTTTATAATTAGTTCCTACTGCTTTAAACAATTCACTTTAGCTTCTGCCTGTATTCACTTAGCTTACTCATGTTTTAGACCCATGGCTTAACTTCTAGCTTCTTCTTCAAAGTCCCCTAGGAACTCCCCCAACCCTAGAGTTGCCCCTTAGATCAATCCTTTTCCCAAGCCTCAACCTGGACAGCAACCCATTGTTGCTGAGAGACCTAGGAGTGTTGTTACCCTTGAGAGAGGTTTCACCAGTGTCTACTTCTTTGTATTTTACTACAAATGTTGAACATATGAAGCGTCGCTGCTTGGTTAGAAAAATGTTTGGGCAAGCAGTGGATGCGAAACTCATCAAAGGAAAGCTAGCTATAAGCTGGAAGGGTTTGATTCAAGGTAACTTCTTCTTGGATCATTATGGAAGGAATTGGTAAATGATTGAGTTTACAAATGAAGAGGATGTTGAGGTCGTGTTGGAGGGAAGACCATGGTATGTTAAGGGGTAAATTTTTCATATTGAAAAATGGACCCCAGATTTCTATGTTCTAGATGAGATCTATACTATTAGAGTTTGGGTTAGGGTTCCGAGGCTGGTTATCCAATTTTGTGAGGCTGATATTGTGGAGAACTTGGTTGAAGTGATTGGAAAAGTGATTAAAGTTGACGAAGTTACTTTGCATGGCTTAAATGGACTATTTGTGAGAGTGCTGATGGAGGTCAATATCAGGTTCCCTATCCCGAGGGTGTTTGTGCTTACTAATAGGAACAATGATCCCATTTATGTTAGCTATAAGAAGATCTTTGAAGTCTGTTTCTATTATGGACTGATAAGGTTGGAGTTCCATAGATGTCCTCAAGAGTTTAAAGACCCTAGGCCTTTCTTCCTCATTAATAGACTATTCGAGAAGGAACCTAGAGTGTTCCCTACTAATGTCCCGGAGGTGTTAGCTAGAAAAGATGAGGTTCAAGATGATATCATGATCTACTTCCCCCAAGTTGCCCTATTTGAGGATGACCGTTCGAATCCAGTTCATGGGTATATGGACAGGGGTGAGCTTGATCAGGAGAGTTGGACACATGTGTTATTCAAAAAGAGAAGTAGTGTCACTGAAGGTAGAAATGGTAGGTCTTTAAGGGACAAATGGACTTTCAAAGAGGTTACTAGTGGACCTGACCGAGAGAGAGGTGCAAAGGACAATCAAGGTTATAAGTGGGAGGTGATTGCGGACTTGGATGAAAACCACCTTGGGGTAAGCTATCCTTTAAATATTTCTAGGCATGTTAATAATTGTTGTACTCAGCATGAGATACTTAGTCGGCAAGATAGACTTGCTAATGAGGAGGCTAACCTCTGGGTTGATAGTCTTCTCATTGACTCTCATTTTAGGAACTGGCTTGCAACTAATGGTTTAGATAATGATATAGGTAACAATATGATTGATAAACAGGATGTTATGTTAATTGAAGTTACAGGGAGTATGTCTGGCCCCTCGAAGTTTGTTATGGAGAAGCATACACAAGTTGATGCGAAAGGCAAGGAGGTTGTAAGGCCTATTGTGAGGATGCTTAGCCCAAGGAAGAGGATGAAAGGTGAGAGTAGCAATATAAAGTTGTTTTAAACTTAGAAGACATTGACTGATAGGGTGGTTGTTTTGGAATTGCAGAGGTCTTGGTAGACCAGGATTCAAAAGCCAGTTTAAGCATCTTAGTAATATAAATGAGTTAGATTTATTCTATTTAGTAGAACCTATGCAGAGTTTGTCTAAGTATTGCTTGAACTTTTTTAATCAGTTTTTTGATATGAATTTTGCTTCCTCGATGGTGGGGCAAGCTGGTGGTGTTTGCCTTTTTTGGAATTCCTTTACAATCCATTTGAATATTCTATTTGCTTCTCTTAGATTTGTCCATTGCCATGTTACTAACAAGAAAACTAACTTATCTTGGTTTACTACTTTTGTGCATGCTTCTTCTCAAAAGAAAAACCAGAAGAATGATTGGGAGAATATTTTGAGCCATAATCCAGGAAATAATCCTTGGGTTTTAGTAGGAGATTTTAGTGCCATTACAAACATAAGTGAAAAAGTGGGTGGGTAAAATCATATTTCTAACTATGTAATACAATTTGTAGAGTTCCTTAATACCGGGGGTTTAACAACCATCCTTGCCTCCGGCATTCCTTATACTTGGACCAAAGGTCATAAGGATAATACCTTAATTTTTGAAAAGGTTGATAGAGTAGTTGTTAATTCTCAATGGCTGAATTTATTTCCTGATGCTGGGGTTCACAATTTCTCAATCTTTGGCTCCGACCATTGCCCCATTAAGCTCTCCTTCCAAAGTATTTTAGTTCAATACCATAATAAGTTCTTGTTTGAAGCTATTTGGCTTAATCACTGAAAATTGTTGAGGATAGTTGGGTTTGTAATTTTAATGCTAACCTAAATGATTATATAGAGTGTGTGCTAAAACTTTTAAGCTAAAAGTTAAAGGCTGCAGTAGAAGGAATTTTGGAAATATTCTAAATCTTATAAAGGAATCTCAAAAGGAACTTCAACATATTCAAGAACTTTGCATGAATCATCATGATAATATGAGACTTCTTGATAAGGAACAACAGCTAAATGATAACTTACTAAAGCTTTATAATGATGAAGAGATTCCTTGGCTCCTTGAGCCCAAGGCAAACTAGCTTCAACTTGGTGACCGTAACACCAAATACTTCCACACTAAGGCCACCATGAGGAAAAAAAGGAATAAAATTCTCAAAATCAAAGATGATCATGGCATTTGTTGGGAGAAGAGTAAAGGGCTAGAAGAGGTTTTCATTCAAGAATTTAAACAGAGATTTTCTAATAATAACCAAATTAATGAAAGCACTGTGGAGGAGTTTCTCAATGTTATCCAACCATTTGTTACCGATGATCAAATATTTCCCTAATGATTCCTGTGTCTGAGCAGGAAATTTACTCGTGGGTTAATAACATTGGCGGCCTTAAAGCCCCTGGCCCGGATGGGCTTCATGCTATCTTTTTCCAGAAGTGTTAGAATACTGTGAAAAACTCTGTTATTAACTTGGTCAAGGATTTCTTTGATAATGGCTCTAGCTTAAGGCTTATAAACCACACTAATATTGCCCTTATCCACAAGATTGATCATCTTGATTTAGTTGATAATTTTAGGCCAATTAGCCTTTGCAATGTGGTCTACAAAGTAATCACAAAAATTATAGTTAATAGGCTGAAACCTATTCTTGAACAACTCATTTCTCATAAT